CATTTCACTTAACGTTGTCGATATCCTCCTAACGATGGGATTACATCGCGAACTTCCGATTTTTTCATCAGTTTTACGTTATCCCTGTCATCAAATCTTCAATAAAATATAGAATAAATATAGAATAAAATTTTGAGAAAAAAATTTGATACAAAATGTTAAAATTACAATTATATATATATGCGATATTTAAAAACATGATATGTAATTCTTTTGTATTCTAATTTAATGATTATATCTATTCTATTATATACGCAAGCATATACGAGAATATAAATATATATAATATTTAATGAATATATTTTTTTTTCAAGAACATATCGGTAAATAAACTGAAACGCGTGTAATATCTTTGAATGAAAATTTGCATTTACCAGATTTCGATTTTTTCGATTTACCGAAAATTCTTTAACGCAATCAAATCGCGCGAGTAATATCAATCACTGATATTCGCTGTGATATTTTGCTGTTACGATGAATAATGGCCGTAGCAAAGATATTTTAAAATCGTTTAGCTAAAATTAATATGCATGGAACAAATATTTCTCTCGAACGTTTCCGTTCTCTGTCCGCGAAATCGTGACGTTGGTACAAATTGGAAAATATTTTTATATGGGTAACTGTGATACGATTTCTTTAAATCGTCTTTCACTACTATTGAACTATTGATAAAAATATTTTAAAAAACGATGTAACATATGTTAAATAATTGTTAATAATTGTTAAATAATTGTTAATAATTTGCTTCTTGAATATTATAATTAAATCACGTATAAGAAACAAGAAAGTGAAATAAAATAAATTATTTACAAGTTGCTATTTGAAACAGTTGAAATGAGTCGAACTGAAATAATTAGTTCTTTATAAATTATAATTAAAAATAAATCGGATTGAGGAGAATAACAACATCAGTACTATAAGTAAAAATATGTATATATTAACACGGAGCTGTGACTGGCACGTGTTTAGCAAAATAGAATTTCAAGCAAATATAGTATATCAGAAATTCGTAAATTACAAGAATAGTCATATGCAGCAATCACAGATGTAAACATTGTTTCTTACGACTCTTGCTCCATTTGATTATGTTCCACCCTACCTGTCCCCTTGCCAATTTACTGACTGTAGTTAGTCACGAATAGCTAGGCAACTTTACCTAGATATTATGTCATATGGAAGCATATGAGAGAAATAGAGAGAGAACAAACGTGACCCAAGACGTGACCTCTTAACATACCTGTCTCGACACTCGTATAATTAATTAAACTAAGCCAAGGAAACATAAAGTTATTTCGACTTATTATGTTAACTAATAACTTATAGCAACATATCTTATGTAAGGACTTTTATTTGTATGCAATCATTTCAATCATTCTTAAGACTTAGGAAGGAGAAAGTATAATATTTGAACTTAAATGAGCGATATAACTTTTGCTCTCTTTAATTTCATATGTTTATATTTTCTCTTATCTTAACAACAGAATTTATTAATACAAAGAACCACCAGCATTTCTCGATTTTTATACTAAACGTAAGATATAAAAATTTTGTATATCTCTGGCAATATCACAAGTATTGCAACAAGCCAAAATCATTTATGTTCACGTAATAATAATAATAATAATAATAGGATTATTAATGAGCTCGATGGAGCGATGACAAAAATTACCTGCTTGATCGCATAAACACATTTGACCCTTAACAAACACTATTATTAGCTGCATTGATTTTGGCTTAATCAATTCCCATCGAGCAAATGCCCGCGGAGTTGTATATTGGCGCACCCCCGCGAGCACAATCACGCGATTCGATAGATCGAGGACAAACGAGAGGGGGAGGAAAAGACACAGATGCGCAAATCAACCAACGAATCAATGAGCGCCGTGTTTGCTAAATTAAACCCGTTGGCCGCCAAATCACAGCTGATGATAAGTCAAGTCGTAGTGCGTTTGGGAATGAAAACGCATTGTTAAAATTAGGGAATGTAGTTATCCGGGTAGAACAACGAGGATAGTTTGTATCTAGAATCGAAAGCACGGTATCTGGTAAATCATGGACTCTTTCATCAATATTTAATCTGTTTGTTGCAGTGTAAAACGATGTAAAAAGAACTCTCTTAGGATGCTTGTCACATATTATTAAAGAGAAACAAGAGGCAAATATTTTTCAAGCTCGCTTTAAATCAGATCAGCGTATAATTCGCGAACAGAATTCTTTTTATAATAAATATGATATAGAAAATTTAAAAATAGAAAAAGTAAAATACATATATAATAATATGTATATAAAATTGTAAAAAAAAATTTCGAATTTTATCGGAAATTATAAGATCGTCTAAATCAGATTTTACTGATGCAATAAAACTAGAGCTGTTTTCAATAAGCTTTACACACGAGTTTGATAACTTTAATCACGTCATTGGTTAAAGCTTTCTCCGCTGATGGATGTTCGATCTAATGCTTAATTCACAGATAGACTATTATCCTGGCATGTGAATCTTGCAAACGTGTATCAGATATAATACCCCTTTATCCCGAACGATTTCAACGATTCTATGTCACGGAACTTGTAATTACGGAAACGGCCGGATGGTAGATATCGATGTGAGATTTATGCGCCAAACTTATGTATGATGATTGTATAACACATATCAAAATATTGCAGAATTTCTTCTATAAGTTTTTTTGAATGAAACTTGATTATTAATTTTAAAACTCTATTGATTTTTAATTTGAGCAAAAACAATGATATGAATTACGGTATCAAAAGTTTAAATTAATTTTAAATTATAATTAAGTTTCAATTAATTTATAATTAATAATGGAAAGGCTGAAAGAAAAGATAAATTTTCATCACGGTAAAAATCTAACTAGAAAAGATGGATTATATTTATAATTTCCACGGCAAAATATATTTTAATCATTTATAATTTGATATTTAAGAGAAAGAGAGACGGTAGTAAATTTTCGAATGCACAAAACAAGCAAACAATGTTTTAAACAATTTATTAATTAATAATTTTAAGACATGACATGTATTTAGCTTGATTTAACGATTTATCTTAGATGTCAGAAGTTATATCCATTTTTGCTCGATAGAATCTTGATAGCGACAGTATTTGAAAATCAGGTTACACGTAAGGAACAACATGCAACGAATATTTTAAGTTACGTCAGGTCTTAAAATATTCGTTGAAAAAGAGACAAATCGCTTCTCAGTCAGTTATATATGTACCCACCTATCCATTTTTATCAATCGAAAAAAATGTGCATTCTTCCTACGACGTTAAAAGCGTACATTTACTTTTTGTCATACTTGATTCTGTGACATGACGTATTTTTTATTATTTGCAAAATATCGCGAGATATTTCTGATCACCTGTGAATCATCACCTGTGTAATATCGATTTGATAGAATCAGATTAATCTTGTTATAGGATTAATCTTGTTATAGGATTAATCTTGTTATAGGATTAAAGTATTATTACTTACAACTATTTCCAGTAATTCTTATGATCGTATGGAAGTTATAATTGTTTTATCACGAAGGCTTTGCCCACAAAATGTCAAGATATTTTCAATATTATTCCTAAAATAAGGTAGATAAATGAACAGTAAGTAACATTTGAGATATATTGTTAGCTAGTTTAATTTCATCATAATTAATTCATCTTTTTAAAAAATTTTTTAACGCAGTATCAATTTTTACGCGATTAATTTTTTATATTGCTTTAAAAAAAAGGAGCAAATCGAAAAATATTTTCTAATATTATGTAAAATTTTTATTTAGATAAAGAGACAAATGTTTTTTTAATATATTGATAATAAGATTAAGATGAAAAATTATAATTCAATCTTTTGTCTTGATTTATTATTAAAAATATATTTTTCAACAATAATAATATGATTTATTGCAATAATAAAATCGTCGTCATCATGTTATAGATTAAATCTCTGCAGATTAGGAGCGATTCGATCATTCGCGCAAATACGTTCGTCCAATTTTATTTAAATTCATTTCGAAATAGTTTATCTTATTAAGAATATTTTTTCGTTCTAAGCGGTATATCGCGCATCGCACAATCATCTACGATCGGTTACGTTGGCCGGATCGAAAATCGAGTCTCACACGATTCGGAAGGGAACTATGAGATGTTATTAAGTTTCGTTTCGCGAAACGAGATATCTTGTGTGATAGCCGGGAAGAAATCGATGGTCTCTCCCCTACCTTCTATCATGACTCATCCACGTGTTCCGTCTTACCTGACCAATCAATTTCCTGGCACATATCGCGTATAAAGTCGGGACGATCGTTTTGTAAGACTTCTTTTCGTTGTTTAAGGTATCTCCGAAATATATATCCAGTCCATTGGATCGTTTTACGATCAATTACTGCCGGCGAATTGCTGTCTCGCGATGGTCGATATTAGACTTAATTAACTTAATAACGATAAATAGCAGTATTTATGAATAACTCAATTACGATCCCTCGCGCGAACTTGCTCGTTTACATATTCCTGCGGGCTAATAATATTAATAACGAATAAATTAATGATGCGTAACGGATATTGTGCATTTACGGACGACGTACACTTTATTTTTATTTGTTTACGATTAATTGATTAATTGCACGGTGAAAGCGTAATCAGGAACGAAAATAACAGCAGTTGTGGCAGTATAACTCGTTAGAAACAAAACATCTGAGGCTACCCTTTTTTCTCGCATTTTATTTTGATAAAACACATCAGAATTATTTGGATATTAATTTTTTTTTAATAATTATTTTTCACAATTTTTTAATTTTTCTCTCTCATTAGCAAGTATAAATGAAACACTATTTGGAAGCAACTTTAAAGGAATTTATGAGATTTTTGTTATTATTATATAATTTAATCTTATAATATTTCTCTTCCTCTCTATCCTCTTATTTATCTAGAATAAGGATCACATTTATTTTCTCTACTCGTTTTTTTGAACTGACGACGGATATTTTTTTCGCAGGTGCTCGGCGTAGCATCGTGAACAGATCCGAGGAGCAACGCATGACTGCAGCGAGTACGCTCGCATCCTAATTAAAGAAATGGATACGGTAATTACGAGACCACGCCAGCGACCAGGCATACAGGCTAATTCGGCGCGTTAAATGCTCCCCCGGGGATCCACGTTCCGGCCGAGGCTCTCGCGGATCTGGGATGGCTTCTGGGAGCAGAAGCGGCAGTAGCAACAGCGATATCGGATCAAACTCAGTTAACAAGCCTGTGTCATCGCTGTATTGATTGCGCAAGTAGATAGATTTTAAATCGAGTCAACCGCGCGGAAACAACGAAGTTAGCACGACAAAATAATCCGGTGGGGCTATTAGATCGTGTATCCCGACCGGGTATATAATGAAATCACGTGGAACAGGACGGTAGTGGACCGAAGGTGATGGATGCTACGAAGAAGAAATTGAATCCTACCTTACAGATCGCCTAATGATCCGACACATCGCAGAGTTATCAAGAATTATCTTTATTTAACCTGATACGAGGCCTCAAAGATATAGATAGTAGTTACAAGGAAGACGCTGTTGACCCCAACCCTTCTCCCATTTTCAAAATCTTTTTTGTGTACATCGCAAATATCAACGATATCCCGAAAGAGAAGAGATCAGTCGCGAAAAAGCACTGCCAGGCTATAAGAAATAAAAATACACTCGCGATACATCTCAACATTGGAGGAAAACACAACGGATGTCGCAATCAAAGAAAACGACACGGTGAGAGAAGATTAATCAACAGCCAGCGTTTTCAAGAATGTGACGCGACAAGATTCTCCGTGAGTGAAAATTAGTATTCTCGAATAGAAGAACTGTAGAAGAGATAAAAGAAAAGGACACTGGCAAAGGCACGTTTTGACCAAGTGCTCTTACGATTTTCGTCGTCGTTGTCCTTGTCGTGAAGCGGCAAAGTTGATCCTGTGTTATGGAATGAACCGATGCCCAGATAGGGTGTCTAAGTGTTCACAAGCATCCCCCTCGACACGGTTCGGTCGAGCATTATGACCCCGATGATGCGACCGCTCCTGCTATTCGTTCTGATGGCCGTACAGTCCTGCTCGATTGTCTGCTCGGCGAGCGGCGACGGCGGACCCAACAGCCCGATCTTTAATTTAGACCACACCGCTCTGGAGAAGAATCTGGCGGCGATCTTCAACAAGGTGGCGCACAGCTCTGCGACTACGAAACGCAGTGTGCCGGCGTATGATGCCCAGGTGTCGGCCAGTACAACGTTGTCCACAGTGCCGTCACCGTTGACCACCAGTACGACTACCAGCACTACGGCTAGTCCGTCGATACCCGCTATCAAGTACCCGGCGGTGCCACGGGCCACAGCCTCGCCCATCCTCCGAGATCTTCCGTCGTACGCGCCTCCCTCCAGAGCTCTCTTCACACCGCCCCTGCCGCCAGAGTACCTGCATCCATTCGCCGACAAGCCCACGCTACGCGGCACCAACTCGGACGTGTACACCGGCAACAGGAGGCCGGTGCCGCCGCCTAGTTTGACACCGGCGCACGAACGGATACCCATCCGACCGCCGGATCTACCTCAGAGTCCCTCTCAAGTGCCAGAGAGGCATCATTCCCACTCGAGAAATAAACCGGTGAATGTGCCTGACGGCAGAGGGGAACAAAGGCCCGCGGAATCCGGCGAAACTGATCGACGAAACAGCACCAATGATTCCTCTTCATTCGTGACTCTTCATTACCCCAGTATTTCGAGGATCTTGTCCGGTAGCAATGGCAGAAAACAGGATATCCCCGATATATTGTTAAAGCCTCTAGCCACGAAAAGTCCGCTGGTCCCGAACATACCGCCTGCTCCGACGACCGAGAAAACTACGTCAGCACCGAGCACCATCACATCCGGCAGTACCGCAGATCCTTCGAGAGTCGCCATTACCCAACCGACCATCTTCAACCTACCAAATACCGGTCGGCAGGACGACGACAGCTATCATGGGCTGAAAAACGAAAATGGGGACAGTATCGAAATAGTGGACACGGAGAGGAGGAGACCGTATCCGCAGGCGCAGCCCCCGGCACCGACGTCAAAGCGACCAACTAATATCGATGATGATGACGAGCGTCTGGTGCCGCATGTTGACACGCATTCGCTCGAGTCCACGTGGCGAATCGCTTGGTCGCTGCACGTGTACGTTGCGGCGATTATGTTCACGCTAATGGCTCTGTATTCGATCTACAAGATCGTGCGCTTCAACGAAGCGACGAATCTGCTCACCCAGTCATATTTCCTGGCTGTTCATCTACTGCTGACTACCGTTTGCACTCTGAGGTGCTTCCATCTTTTCTACGACGCTTATAATCTCGGACATTCGCTGCCGGAGCCATTGTCCAGGGTGCTAATGTATCTGCCGGCGCCGCTCTTATCCACGGCCTTCGCTACTCTGGTGCTATATCTTGCTCGATGTTCGGAGGCGCCTTCACTCAACAACAGCATCCTCTCGCCTACCACGCTCGTACTCTCGTCCGTAGTGCATATTGTGCTGTGCGTGTCTCTTCACGTGTCCACGCACGTGCTCGGTTATCAGGACGAAGAGCGAATTTTACCGCTTATTTGTCAATGTATTTATATAATTGTCTGCGTTACGTTGGGCCTATGCTACATGTACGTATATCGCGTGGTGCGCTCACAGATCCACGTGGCCAGCAATAAGGCAGCCGGCGCGAACCACATGATGGGTGCCGATCCTACCACAGTGGCGCTCAGCACTGCCATTACCACCACGATCGCCACTGCTCTGCTGTTCATTCTCATGGGTCTTGTGCAGCTCTATGGGATATTCGGTGTCCAGGAACGTCCGCAACCATATCCATGGCTCTGGTGGGGCTGGCAGTTTTCAGTCAGACTGCTGGAGCTTTGCGTCTGCGGTCTTCTAGCCTGGGTCGCCAGTCTATCTCAGTATCCCCTGCGCGAGAAACAAATGCAACAACACTCAGTGCACTCGGGTTTCGCATTGTTTCCTTGCGGCAGTTCCACTTCCACGGAGAATATGGACGATGTGCTTTATCCCGCTATATGTAGTACCAATCAAGCGATTCAGAATTACACTATGAGAACGGGAAAACAGGTTTACGATGACAGTTTTCCATTGAATACTCTGCCCGAGCATTTGAACATATCAGGTAATGTGAAAAATTGTAGACATATATATCTTCCTCGTATATTTCTCACTAAGAATCTCCTTATGCGCACAAAATAATTGAATTTTTATTTTTCTGATTTAAAAAAAAAAACTAATAACTTCATTAATATTTTGTCAATTATTTAAACTAGCATCTAATTGTTTAAGCTGGTGTCGATATTAATATTTACAGAATTCAGAAACTAATGTTCATTTGTATGTTGCATATAGGTACCTTCGAGAGACATTCCATCCGCAAGTCAGGTACAATGGGGCACTTTCCTCACGAAGGTCGAGGTTCCTTAAGTCGTCATGGTAACGGCATACAAACCCTAAGGAATTCCGAGACTCGCGGCAGGCATACGCCCGTGCAAGGCCTACATGAACAAGCTCCGACCAGCGGCTCGACGATGCTAGTCGCCGAAGACGGCTTCGTTAGGTTCCGGAGTCTTGGTGCAGAGGAGGACGAGTTGTCCGATACGCAGAGCATAGTCGGCACTCATGGTAGGGGAAGCTCGCTCGCTGGTAGCGTCAGGTACAATGCGAGGCATTCGACGGTACAGCATCAACATCCCCATCAACACCCCCATCAGCACTCGCTGCAGCACTCGCATCCGAGTCAGCATCAGCAAACTCACCATCAACTTTACAACAACACGTAAAGGCTGTGCCAACGCGATGACTGAAACGTGATTTTTGTTAACTCGGTAGGTTAACAGAAAATAAAATCACAATATTACTTTTGATATGATTAATTTGTGTCGTATTTTTGTCTGGTACATTATGTTTTTTTTAATTATAATTTATTTGAAATTTATTTTTGTCTTTATGACTCTAATATGCTCCTATTATTGTTGCAGACGAACGAAATCGTCGTCAATGAAATATATATGATATATTTGACATGAATCGCGGGAATCGTCGCCCTCGCAAACCTCGGTCTAAACTCAAAAACTAATTTTATCTCATACTCTATGTAAGATATGTCCTGTGTATAGACAACCTAATGCCATTCCCGCTCTCCCGCTTCGCATCGACGTCCGAGCCAAGCCTCTGCCGTACGATACTTGTATACATATTTATTTTGATCCTCGATAAGCGAGTAAAAGTATACGGCGAACTCGTTGGGGTTCCTCTACCTGTATGTGGGTAGTTCAGGGTATATCGAAACTTGATCTTATATTAGGCACTTGGTACTTATTAAGATTCATGTGATTGAAAAAAAAAATAAATAATGTGTCTCTGAAATATGTAGGGAAACGTGCTTCTCTCTCGGTTTTACGTTCACTGTTAGTACCGAAGATGGGCTGTGGAACGTATTGGAAAAAGTACTAACGATTTTAAATCGATTTTTTCAAACATTGTCAATGTGTTTTAATGTATTATTAATTATTCGCTATCGCGTGATTAGAAAAGATCTTGAACGTTGTATTATCCCGACAATTTTTACAATCGTACAGGCTCATTGTTTTACATAGTCGTATGTGCGTTAAAGCGCTCCAAGTCACCTGTTTAATCGGTATTTATGCTTTTTTGAATGAAACTTCTTAAATAAATATGATATAAAATCAGCTTTGCGACCAACAGGAGGTATATTTTTTACAAAAAAAAAATTACACGCGAGGTCCAAACACAACTGGAGAAAACAATTGCGATTCTCATTCAGGTATTCCGAGATTAGGAGATGTGATTATGTCAAGCTGAAAGCGATGTTTGTACAGTCGACGATAATTTATCACTCAGTCCAATTGTACGATTTAGTTAGCGGCTAAGACACTAGATTAAGAATTGCGGATTACACGTTAAGTTTAGTCATTAAGAGAGAGAAAGGGAAAGAGAGAAAGAAAGAGAAAAAGAGTTAGACGAGTCGCGACTAATGTCAACAGATTTACACTTAATAAATCGAAAGGGAATAGAGAGAAGACATAAAAGAATACTATTACCGATATAGAATAGATGACATAAGTGCGATTTAACGTCACACATACACACAGGCCAGCATTTTACTTTTTATTTCTCAGATTCTAAGGTACAAAATAGTACTTTTTACCTTTTACTCCGTATATCGATAGGTTTAAGCGGTCGCAGTGTATATGTTTATATATGGACATTGTACATAAGGTATATGGGCTCGTCGTGAACGAATCTACTGTTATGGTGGAATCTACGGCTAGATTCCATTTAACGCGTTGGAATCTACTCAATTCTCGTTTGTAAATGCACACAAGACTTGAATTTTAATTTATCTCAGAAGCTGTATTTATTATGTGAAACATTCCACAACAAGTGATCAGTATGAGTGCGCGATCGATTTGTGTGGGATTTTATTGCAATTATAAATTTCTCTAGGCGCTAAAACGAAACGGAACAAATGTAAATAAAAGCTTTTTTGCGAAAAAAAAGTTTTATGTTTATCTTTTAAACGAAATTTCAGCCGTTCACGTGCATCGAACATCTGTAAAAAAATATCGTTTTTTATACTTTTATAACAAATTTTTATACTTTTATAACAAATGGACTTTTAGTTGAAATATCTTTACAGATTGTTGTTTACAATATTATTAATTTATCTGGATAATATTTAGATAAATTTTACAAGAATGCTCTGTGTTTAGAAACCACACATGCAAAAGGTTCCGAATTTAGGTTTTCTAAACAAATTTTATGTTGTAATATATATAAATATAATCTCGTGTCACATGCATATTAGAATTTCATTTTATTTTACATTTCGTTCCTTTTACTTTGTATTTTTTCCCACTTTTATTCTTTACATTTATCTTTATATGTTTTAAATACTGGACAACGAATACGTATTGTATTGTGAAATTTTCAAAATAACAACGAAATAACAAACAAATTCTAATTCTGATTTCTAAAATTAGAATTTGATTTTCGTTGTTACTTTGGAAAGTTCTTAAAAATTCAATCAATTATTTCAAAGCAATAATGCATTATTAATAAAAATTAATAACAAAAAATATTAACTAAATTCTATTTTATAAGTTGTATATTAAATATTTTTCCTTATTGCGAAGAATTCTAATATTTGCATTCAATGAAGTATCACAAATGCACGTCTTTAGTCTCTGTTTCACTATGCTACAAACAACATATTTTATCATTTTGATAAAGCGAAAAATTTTTATCACTTGATAAGATATATAAACCATAGTCGCTTCATTACTCATGCTATTAATGCATTTGATGCTAGTTTGTTAATTTAAAATATCAGTTTGCATATTTTTATTTATAAATATATAATTTATAATAAATATATATTAATAAATTTCTCATAAATACGGCTGTTTGTAAATATTGAAAAGAAACTATGAATCACAATATGAAAAAGTGCATTAACTTGAGTGACATAAATAACAAGTTTACAGAAGAAGTGTTAACAGATATTATTTCTAAAACATGTAATAGAAAAGATGTACAATTGACGGATTGGGATTTTAACGAGGGATCTGCTAAAGGAGACAATTATTTATCTAATGTTTATAAGGGCAAAGTGAATGGTATTATCAGTGGTAATCCAAAGCAACATGTGCAAGTGAATATCATTGTAAAGTCAATGCCAAAAAATCCTGGCACAAGAAAGACTCTCAGATGTGCAGACTTTTTCCGTAATGAAATTGCTTTCTATACAAAGGCAAGATTATCACATATTACTTCTCTTTTCTTTTTTAGATTTATACATGCTTATATTATTTATTTAAAAGAAATTATATTATCTATATGTTATCTATATGTGTAAAAGATCACAAATATTCTTTATTCATTTATTTTGCAGGTTGTTTCTAAATTTGAAAATTTTTTGACGAACAAAGGACAGAACGATCTGTTATGTATACCACGTTATATAATGTCTTTCATAGATAATGAAAATGATTTTCTAATATTGGAAGATGTCTCTTGCTTAGGATTTCGTGGAGCATCGCGACAAAATTGCTTAGACTGGACAGAATGTATAGCAATCTTGAAGACATTAGCTAAATTTCATGCAATTTCATTTGCGTATAAGGATCAAAAGAAAGAAGAGTTTATAAAAATTACAGATTCTTTAGAAGAAACTTTCTTTGGCAGTAACCACTGGGACTGGTATAAAAATTATCATGTAAATAACAGGAAATATAAATTTTTTTCAAGCGTCTTAAACTTTTCTCTTAAGAGTATAAGCATTTTTTCCTTCTTTCGCAGAAAAAGGCACAAGATATAATTAAGCATGCATTAACCACCGAATATCCCAACAGTGAAGCTGAGAAAAAGTACAATTCTTATGAATTTGGTGCTCTTTTCAACAAATGCAGAGAATTATGCGAGACAAGACACGCACCTACATCTGTTGTAATTGAGGGTGATTGTTGGGCTCCAAATTTTTTAATCCGGGATATTGGTCAAAGTCAAAAGGAAGCATTAATGCTTGATTTTCAGCTTGCACGTTGTGCTAGTCCTATCTTGGACTTATCATTCCTAATTTATTCTTGCACTCTAAAATCATTTCGTGATCAGTACTTTGATGATATGTTAAAAAACTATTATTCGGAATTAAACAATGCTATTAAATTACTTGGATCTGATCCAGATAAAATTTATCCATGGGACTTATTCATGCAGGAGGTAAAATATTCATTTTTAAAAATTGTTCCTTTAAGCAAATGAAGATGTTTAATGTTTATATTTATAATTTCAGGTAAAGGAGCAATTTATTTTTGGTGTATTAACTGCACTTGAAGCTATTCTACTAAGCTTAATAGATATACCTGAATCATTTAACATAAATACCGTTATTCAGGGTAATGAGGCAATAGATATTGGTGAAATATCATTTCTCCATCCCGTTGAAACAACAAGTGGAAGACGAAGATTGGCAGATGTGATAGTTCATGCTTTTGAACAAGGATACATATAATATTAATTTATATAAAATTATTTATTGATAAATAATAGTAGACATCAATATAATAAAAGTGTTATCTAATTTGATTTTCTACATTTAATTTATTGAAAGTAATAAAAAATACTTGTCAAACTTTCATATTCAAAGATTTCCAAAGAATCCTTTCACAATATAAATTATTTCATTCATTGATTAATAGTTAATTTTCTTTGGTGGAATTTTATCATGGTTTTCCTACATTTATTTTAAATTGACAAAAGTTATACATTGTTTTTTTTTGTTGTATCATAAACAGTTGTATAATATACACAGTCACATTGGAAACAATGCTCAGTGTATTTTGGTGGATAAGCTTGAATGGATTATTTGTTCATTTTGAAATTTATTTTTTAATGAAAAACATTATTTGTCATGTTTTCAATATTTAATATATTACTTTTCCCCTTATATATGTATAATAAATCCTTCAAAAATAATTTTACAAAGTATTTACTTAAAATAAGGGATAAAATTTTGTCTTGTATTCTTTAAAGATTAATACCAATAAAATTGATAGATTTTCTACGATTTATTTGATGTCATTTTTCACAGAAATTTATCAGCAGATTAATTATACGAATGTAAAAGATCTCAACACAAGAAAAATTGATAAAAAAGAATTGGTTGTGTGTTAATTAGTAAATATCTATGTAACAAATAATTCTCTCAATAACAACTACGAAAAGAATTGAATTGAACAACTGAAGAAAAGTTAAATGGTTCGATACGTTTATCATTTCTGCAATTATTTCTACGTTAATTATCATGCAACAATCAACAGAAACATATCAGAATCAATATATCAACAGTTCTTTTTCTTCTATTGATTTTATAATCAACGATTCTTCGCATTTTTTGTGGAGACAAAATAATAAATCAAATTATCTCACTTAAAAATATTAATCTTATCTTTCAGACATGTCACATAATCTTTCTGATCTCACTTTATCAATCTAATTATACTAAAGGTTATGTTTTTACTTAACAAATCGATATGCATTCACGAAATATCGATAAAAACTTGCGCGCGCATTTTACAATGCAAGTTATGACACAAAGAAATATGAGCATGAGATTGTGATTTGTGGCCTTCCAACTAATCGTCCCAATTTATTCTCCCTTCTCCATCTGTGAATATTCTCAATAAGAGGAGTTCTTTCATGATGGAAAATTCCACTCGATAGTGTGGCGTGGCAAGTGCATGCGTAAGGATTGTGTACATGTGAAAATTATGTATTTATTTTTTTGCAGTAATCATAGATAGACATTTATGTGGAAAATAAGATTAATAAGATAAGCGTCTTTTCTCTGGCGAGAAAAACGTATTCGATCAACAAGTACAACTTGCAGATATATATCAAGTGCGAATGTTTTACATATGAAACGTGTCGTATCAAGCTTTGTAAAAAAAAAAAGACTAATTCCCAAAAATGATAAGGAACTTATACCGTAAATCATAGATCTTATCATAAGAAAGAGAGAAGAGAATTAAATTGCGTTCAAGATAACAGTTGTATAAACCATAAGAATTTCGTCTTTCCTTGAATATTATTTCAGTGTCGTTCTCTTAGTTATGTCTATTAACTTATTGAAAAATATCACAACTATATTGTAATAAGTGAACGCATTAGTATAAATACATCTCTGGGAATATTCATATTAATATAAATATTGTATTAAATCCTAAAAGCATCAGTATTATTTTTCAAAGTATTACTGTATAAATTTCATATCAAGTAGTTTCTTGAAAAGATCTAGAAAAAAATCATGAGTCAAAGTAAGAATCGCATCAATTTGAATGAAGTGAGTGACAAGTTTACGGAAGAGCTGCTGACAGACATTCTCTGTAAGGAATATAATGGGAAAAAAGTACAACTGACAGATTGGGATTTTGGCGAAGGATTTGTTAAAGGTGACAGCTATATGTCAACTGTCAATAAGGGTAAAATATATGGTATTATAGATGATGATACACAACAACATGTACAAGTTAATTTTGTCGTCAAGGCGATTCCAAAGAACATTGGCAGAAGAAAGACTTTTAGATGTGCAGACCTTTTCCGCAATGAAATCATATTTTATACACAGGTAAGAATATATATAACGTTTACCTTTCTTAGTAATAAAAAATATATATATTATTAAAAAAATAGCATTATATAATCAATGAATAAATTTCTTTGATTAATATTTTAATTTCAAATACTTGCTATGTTTTATAGATTGTCCCCAAATTTGAGAAATTTCTAGCAGACAAAGGACAAAGCAATCTATTATGCATACCACGTCACTTGATTTCTTATACAGATGGTGAAAACGATTTTATTGTCTTGGAGGATGTTTCTCTCCTAGGATTTGGACCTGTATCCCGACAAAACTGTGTAGATTGGATAGAATGTACAGTGATGTTAAAAGCATTAGCAAAATTTCATGCAATCTCGTTTGCATATAGAGATCAGAAGAAAGAGGAATTTATAAAACTTGCAAGTAATTTAAATGAACTTTACTTTGATAATCATACCTGGAACTGGTATCAAAGATTTCATGTAAGTAATATTATTACATTGTATAATTTAGTATGATATAATTATTATTAAAGCAGTTTTTTTTATATAGGAAAGACTTGTGGGTATTGCTAAACATGCGTTAGCTACTGAATATCCAAACAGTAAAGCTGAAAAGCAATTTAATTCCTATGAATTTGGTGAATTGTATCAGAGGTGCTGCAAATGCTGTGACAAGAAAGATGCCCCTACGTCTGTTATATCTGAAGGTGACTGTTGGGCACCAAACTTTCTTGTACGAGACGTCGGGCAAGATCAAAAGGAAGCGTTATTGCTCGACTTTCAACTTGCACGTTGTGGTAATCCTATCATGGATTTATCATTCTTAATTTATTCGTGCACTTTGAAATCATTTCGCGATCAATATTTCGATGATATATTGAAAACTTATCATTCCGATTTGAGCAATGTTATTAAATCTCTTGGATCTGATCCAGAAAAAATTTATCCATGGGATTTATTTATGAAAGAGGTAAAATGTCTATTTTCTATTTAAAATTTTAAATAAGAAGCAAAAGTGATATATTAATCGATTTAAATTGCAGGTGAAGGAATTCTCTGTTGTTGGACTAGTATTTTCACTTGAAGCAATTCCATTTTGCCTAATGGATCCATCTGAAGCATTCGATTTAGACGATATCATTAAGAATGATGAAGCTGTGAATGTTTCTGATGTAATGACAGTGTCTAATATTAAAACGTCAATTGGAAGACAAAGATTGGCAGATGTAATAGTTCATGCTGTTGAACATGGATACATATAATATTAATTTATATAAAATTATTTATTGATGAATAATATTAAACATCAATATAATAAAAGTGTTATCTAATTTGATTTTCTAAACTTAATTTATTGAAAGTAATAAAAAAACACTTGTCAAAGTTTCATGTTCAAAAATTTCCAAAGAATTTGACAACATAAATTATTTCATTCATTGATTAATAATAATTAATTTTCTTTTGTGGAATTTTATCATGGTTTTCCTACATCTATTTTAAATTGACAAGTTATACATTGTTTCTTTTTGTTGTATCATAAACAGTTGTATAATATACACAGTCACATTGGAAACAATGCTCAGTGTATTATGGTGGATAAGCTTGAATGGATTTTTTGTTCATTTTGAAATTTATTTTTTAATGAAAACATTATTTGTAATGTTTTCAATATTTAATATATTACTTTACCTCTTATATATATATATATATATATATATATATATATATATATATATATATATAATAAATCCTTCAAACATAATTTTATAAAGTATTTATTTAAAAGGGGTAAAATTTTACCTTGAACTCTTCAAAGATTAATTCCAATAAAGTTGATAGATTTTCTATGATTTATTTTGTCATTTTTCACAGACATTTATCAACAGATTAATTATACGGATGTAAAAGATCTCAACACAAGAAGAATCGATAAAAAAGAACCGGTTGTGTTGATTAGCAAATATTTACGTAACAAGTAATTGTCTCAATAACAACTATAAAAAGAATTGAACTGAACAATGAAGAAAATTTAAACGGATCGATACGTTTGTCATTTCTACAATTATTATTTCTACGTTAATTATCATACAACAATCAACAGTAACATATCAGAATCAATACATCAACAGTTCTTTTTCTTCTATTGATTTTATAATCAATGATTCTTCCCATTTTTTTGTGGAGACCAGATAATAAATCAAATTATCTCACTTAAAAATATTAATCTTATCTTTCAGGTATGCATAATCTTTCTGAATTCACCTTATCAATCTAATTATACTAAAGGTTATGTTTTTACTTAACAAATCGATATGCATTCACGAGAAATCGATAAAAACTTGCGCGCGCATTTTACAATGCAAGTTATGACACAAAGAAATATGAGCATGATTGTGATTTGTGGCCTTCCAACTAATCGTCCCAATTTATTCTCCCTTCTCCATCTGTGAATAGCGATTCTCAATAAGAGGAGTTCTTTCATGATGGAAAATTCCACTCGATAGTGTCGCGTGGCAAGTGCATGCGTAAGGATATTTACTTTTTTGCAGTAATCATAGATGTGGAAAATAAAATTAATAAGATAAGCGTCTTTTTTCTCTGGCGAGAAAAACTTATTCCGTCAACGAAGAACAAATACAACTTGCAGATATACATCAAGTGCGAGTGTTTTCATATCAAACGTGTCGTATCAAGCTTTGTAAAAAAAACGATTAAATGCCCAGAAATGATAAAGAACTTATCGTAAATTATACATCTTATCATTAGAAAAGAATTAAATCGCGTTCGAGATAACAGTTGTATAAACCATAGGGATTTCATCTTTCCTTAAATATTATTTCAGTGTCGTTCTCTTAATTACATATGTCTATTAACTTACTGAAAAATATCACAACGTAGATTGTAATAAGTGAACACATTATTGTAAATACATCTCTGGGAATATTCATATTAATATAAATATTGTATTAAACCCTAAAAACACACCAGTATTTCTTTTCAAAGTATTACTGTATAAATTTCATATCAAGTAGTTTCTTGAAAAGCTCTAGAAAAAAATCATGAGTCAAAGTAAGAATCGCATCAATTTGAATGAAGTGAGTGACAAGTTTACGGAAGAGCTGCTGACAGATATTCTCTGTAAGGAATATAATGGGAAAAAAGTACAACTGACAGATTGGGATTTTGGCGAAGGATTTACTAAAGGTGACAGCTATTTGTCAACTGTCAATAAGGGTAAAATATATGGTATTATAGATAGTGACCCACAACAACATGTACAAATTAATTTTGTCGTCAAGTCGATTCCAAAGAACATTGGCAGAAGAAAGACTTTTAGAAGTGCAGACTTTTTCCGCAATGAAATCATATTTTATACACAGGTAAGAATATATAACTTACTTTTCTTAGTAATAAAAAATATATATATTATTGAAAAAATAGTATTATGTAATCAATGAATAAATTTCTTTATTAATATTTTAATCTCGGACACTTGTTTTTTTTTATAGATTGTCCCCAAATTTGAGAAATTTCTAGCAGACAAAGGACAAAGCAATCTATTGCGCATACCACGTCATTTAATTTCTTATGCAGATGGTGAAAACGATTTTATTGTCTTGGAAGATGTTTCTTTCCTAGGATTTGGACCTGCATCCAGACAAAACTGCATGGATTGGTCAGAATGTACAGTGATGTTAAAAGCATTAGCAAGATTTCATGCAATCTCATTTGCATATAGAGATCAGAAGAAAGAGGAATTTATAAAACTTGCAAGTAATTTAAATGAAACTTACTTTGATAACTGGAATTGGTATCAAAGATTTCATGTAAGTAATATTACTACATTGTATAATTTTATATGATTTAATTATTAAAGTAGTTTTTTTTATATAGGAAAGACTTGTGGGTGTTGCTAAACATGCGTTAGCTATTGAATATCCAAACAGTAAAGCTGAAAAACAATTTAATTCCTATGAATTAGGTGAATTGTACCATATGTGCAGCAAATGCTGTGACAAGAAAGACGCCCCTACGTCTGTTATATGCGCAGGTGATTGTTGGGCTCCAAACTTTCTTGTACGAGACATCGGGCAAGATCAAAAGGAAGCGTTATTGCTCGACTTTCAACTTGCGCGTTGGAGTAATCCTATCACGGATTTATCATTCTTAATTTATTCGTGCACTTTGAAATCATTTCGCGATCAGTATTTCGATGATATATTGAAAACTTATCATTCCGAATTGAGCAATGCTATTAAATCTCTTGGATCTGATCCAGAAAAAATTTATCCATGGGATTTATTTATGAAAGAGGTAAAATGTCTATTTTCTATTTAAAATTAATAAGGAGCAAAAGTGATATATTAATCCATATAAATTGCAGGTTAAGGAATTCTTTTTTTTTGGACTAGTATTTTCACTTGAATCAATTCCATTTGGCCTATTGGATCCATCTGAAGCATTCGATTTAGACGATATCATTAAGAATGATGAAGCTGTGAATATTTCTGATGTATGGACAGTGTCTAATATTAAAACGTCAATTGGAAGACAAAGATTGGCAGATGTAATAGTTCATGGTGTTGAACATGGATATCTATGATAAATTATAGATGAATAATTCTTATGTATTTTTATAGAACATTATATAAACAGCATGAATATATATATATATATATATATATATATATATATATATACTGTTAATAAAACAATGATACATTATTAGAAAAGTATTATTAAATTTTATTCTAATAATAGTAATAATATAATAATGTATCTTTGATTATTCAAAATATATATCTTATTAGCAAAATATTTAATCAGTTTTTTTTTTTTCAATTTTATCTTTATATTTTTCCAATAGAAATGTATCTCAAATGATATTTACGCATATTTGGAATAAAGTTTTGTACATAATTTTTATTAATGTGTAGTATTAAAGAAAATAGAGACAATCTGTATTTGTATAATTTTAATTATATAACAACGTAGATTAATTAAAATATAATCTGTATAAGAGTAGAGATATAGCCACCCGATAACTCTTTCATTAACTCGCAGATGAGAGATACGTATCTAAAATTTCACATTATCACATAGCATTATAATAGGGTGGAGAATATTGATAGAAATATCTTGGATTTCTTTTCTTGTTAGGAAAAGTACATCTATTGCTGACAAGCATAATATGTCAATGATAAGTGCATCACAGATGCGTATTTGATAATAATCTTGTTGCACAAAGCAAATTTTATTTTATTCAAAATGCTGAAAAGTGTCTTAAACCTGCCTCCGAACTCTGATAGTCCTCCTCTTGTGTACTTACTTCAACGGATCACGAATTATTCAAATATTACTAAGGTTGTGGTGTCTCAAGAGCAACATTACACAGTATGATATATAAAATAGCACAATGGTGTAGTTCTTTACGCGAAAACTTTTACGCGTTTTGATGCTGAATGCTATTTGTCACGACGTTGCTCGCATCGAAAACAGTTGTATCTTCATCATCTTCCTCCTCCAATGGCAACGGTCGCATCTCGACATCCTGCCTGTGCGTGAGGACACCATACTTTCGAACTAGCTGGGCTCGCGTTTTACTTAACCTGCCAATAACAACCAGTTAAACTTCCAAACTGAAGACTGATCAATGTATCATCCTTACTACTAAATCCATTAAACTCACCTAAAGCTACGGAACACGATGTAGGCCATGACAAGGATGCTTAGTCCTACAAAGACCAAGAAACCGCGTACGAGAGCACCAGCATTGAAGGTCGCATGGTCCTCGCTGGATGTCTACATCAAGATACATCAAGTCATTATTGATAAACAGAGATAATTGGCGAAGATTACTCACGAGACAAGGAAATTTTCATGATGACTATCCTTATCTCTGATACGAAGATACCAACCTCGTTGTCCGCGATGTGCGTTTTATTCGCGTTGATGTCCGGCGACGGCTTTGAGGTTATATTGTCGTGTGTCTTGTTGCCATCGGTCGCCGGCTTCTTCGCCTCGGAGGACGACCCGGTCGCGCTCTGTTGAATCCGCGCGTCGAGATTCTTACTGGTTTCCTTGTTGACCTTATTCTCTTTATCCACGTCTCTCTTCTCCCGGAAACTTCCGTCGCAGATTGCCGTCTGTGCCAGCAGGAAGATGAGCAGGAATACGAAAAACTTCATCTTCTGAATCTTCGAGCGCGTCATCGTGCCGTGTCATTTAAATGACGACGACGACGATGATGATTTTTCTTCCCTTACGACGTGACAACACGACGCTTCAGCGCGATGTCCATGTCGTCCGCCGCCCGGCGTACACAACTAGACGTGCTCTGTCACGCTTCCTCGCGAATCACACCAGCTGTTTCCACGCGGGGCGGCCTTCGATGACAGTTCCGTGTCATTCTCGCGCGACGCCCCGCGCTCGCACGTGTCCCGCGTTAAGGTTCCTCCACATCTGTCACGTGCTACCGTGCATCGCGTCACCGTATGGATAATAACACACGGCTCGTATTGTCTCGTTATCGCGATATGTAAATTAATACGATAACGAATCAGACGTGTACGCATCTTTACGTAGAAAATTACGCGAAGAGATGAAAAACACCTCGCATTTCCACATGTCTGGGATCTTGTTTCTTCTTTCGCAGAATTAATAGGTGATTACTCATATATTATATAGATTGATAATAATTATAATAGTTATAATTGTAGAAATAATTAATTATAAGATACACAGAGTGTATCTTAAAAAGCTCTCACTAAGTAGTGTTATTCCTGATTAAAAACCGAATCGAAAAGTCCTGAACCATTTTTTTCCATAATATGCTTAATAAAGCAGTAATTAATGAGTAAAGTCACGTCAATAAAAAGACAAACTTCCTCGTTATCAACATATGAAGATTTGGATAAGCAAAAAAAATAAACTGTTTTGTGTTAATTTTTAAACAATTCATCTTTTCAGAAATCTTTTTAATATTTAAATCTGATTAATTATTTAATGAATCTTGGAAAAAAAAATGATTCAGGACTTTTCGATTTGATTTTTAATCAGGAATAACGCTATTTGCTTAGTGGGAACCTTTTAAGATACACCCTGGATAGATTGTTAAAAAGATGTTATCGTCAGATTAATTGATTTATATTTGATCGCTTCAACGTAAGTGATGTCATTTAAGTGGAGTTAAATCTACTCGAAATAGAATTCTGCGAATGAGGCTCTTTATTATTAAAATGATATTCAACGATAAAAGATTATGTTATACGAAAGGAAATATTGCGAATGCGAAGGAATGTCAATTTATGATAAGCTGCAGTTTACGTGCAATAATAATCTCCAAAAGTCTTCAAAGTTATTAGGAGAATATATTGTGGCAAGAAGTAAACCGAAGCGACTTGCGGATTTAAATTTCACGATTAAATTTAAGGAAATTAAAATAACATGAATTGAAGATTATGCAAACATCTCCTGCAATCATGTTTTTTTAAGAGATTAGTCGCAAAGTTGATGAAATTTAGATATTCGTGAAAAGATAATCTTTTTCAATTTGTGCTTTCTTCATTTTTCTTAATCGCTGCTAAAATCCCGAACAAGAAAAACAAAACTTGTGCTCCTCTAATATCGTAATTTAATAGAAAAATTTAAATCAGATTTCTTGCTTCAATTCTTGTCTTTTATCGAAAAACATTTTCTTAACAACTTTTTCAAGTATTAAAAGACGCGTATATTTTATTGTACGTAAAGTACCGATGTTGTGCGTATGTTTTATTGTACGTAAAATACCGATAATATTTACTGGCGAACTATTGAGAGCAAAAGATATAAATTAAACACTTATATAAATATACTTCACGATTAATTTTAATTGATTCGGAGTAACGATTTCGATAAAAACCTGGCTTTTTTTCAATTTTCCAAAAAAAAATTAATTGTCTGATAATTTTCTTAAAGACTTTATACTTCTGAAAACATGTCATTTTTCAAGTTTCGCAATATAATATTTAAATTACTCGATCTATTTTTTTTCTCACAGAGAGGGGGGAGAGAGAAAGAAAGAGAGGGAGAGAGAGAGAGAGAGAATGTCCTGATCTCGGGCATTTTTTTATTTTGCGATAGATCTTTTAAAAGGAAATACCACGGGTTAATCGAGGTGAGAGAAGCCAATCGTGTCACACACGTGCGTGACGTCACGCATGTGTGCACGATACACAAACACGCGGAGAGGAGACGGATAGGTGACAGTTGGAGCGCGAAAGTGAGCGAGCCCGCGTTGTTGGAGGTCGCTATCGCGCGAGAGTCGGGGGTATAAACATTGAAAGGTGGTAGCGGCGAGAGGGGGAGAGGGAGGGGGGGAACTGGCGCGCATATTCCATTCCAGAGTATATGCCCGTCTCTTCTGTAAATCCCGGCGCGGTCGCAGTCGACAACGGGTCGAACGACGTAGTAGCGGATGGATCGCGATTCGAACCGCTCGGTTGGTTGAATATGATGCGCGCCTGCGACGGGACGTTCGATGTGCGATTGGAGAGATTCAGGGCCGACAAGAAGGCCAGCGGCACCGCCGCGGCAACAACGACGACGATGACGGCAGTGACGGTGAACGACGGGGACGCGGCGACGGAGGAGGCGACGTCAAGAAAGTGCGAGGGGCAGCTGTCTTCGCTGAATGCGGCAAACAGCTGTTCGTCCTACAAGTCTGCGAATCGTATGACAGAAATGGCGCAAGAGGATTACCACGGCCCGTCCTGGAACAATCTGCCCAGCGTTATTTTGCAGGAGATATTCTCGTACTTGTCACACGAGACCAGAATAAGAGCCTCCCAGGTAAGTAGATGGGAAGATCAGAGTGACAGAGAGAGACAGAGAGAGAAAGAGTGAATGAGAGAGAGAGAGAGAGAGAGAAAGAATGAGAGAGAGAGAGAGAGAGAGTGAGGGAGGGGGGAGAGAGAGAGAAAGTCTTGTGTTTTCTTTTCTTCGTTCTCTCAGTGTCTCGATCGTTTGTACCGTAAACTGACCTGACATTGTCTGGCTGATAAAAGTCGCGTGTCAATCACAAGAACGCTTCTTATATACGATGGTACATACCAATAAGAGGATTCACTATCACGTTTGACATTACATATTGCATTGCTTACTTGCGTGGTTAGGAGTTTGATACACGATCCTTGTGTATGTGAGTCACGATTTGTTTCGTTACGTTTCCTTTTTATGCTATTAGTAGCGAAATAGTGGATATTTAGCCTTGAAATGTCAAAAGTCACGATTATTTATAATGACAAACTTTATTATTATATTTATATATGATAAAAAATTACGTCTTTAATGTGGTTCGAAAAAAAAGCCGATGCAATGACTCAAGAGAAGATGAAAAATGTTTTCTTTATATAAATTTTATATTTAAAATATAATAAAAATGGTTTATATTAGATACGCGATAAAAGTCATTGTGTATTGTATTTTTTATGCATCAAAATTACTTATATTAATATAATTATGTTGAATATAGTAAAATGTCTATTAATTATAATTTTCATGTATAATTATTTACAATTTATTTATAACATTATCTATAACAATTTAGAATAATATATCATATATTGATTAATTAATATTTATGTTAATTAATACAAGGTTTGTTTAGTAGGCTTGTTGTTCAATTTGTGCAGGTGTGCAGAAATTGGAGGTACACTTTGTTCCATCCAAGTTTTTGGAAAAAAATCACTTTTGTGTTCAGAGATGAAGACAGTGTTTTGTGGGCTCGGTTTGTAGAATCAGCTTTTTTGTTTATTTATATATATTCATTAAAAATTACACAGTATATTGTATGTTTTATTACAGATCTTTGGCAAATTATTTTGCTTTGAGTGTACACGAAGCTACGATTCGTTGGGATAAACCCATTCACATTGATTACGTGGGTGAAACGTATAAGCTTTTGAAACAATTAAGTCATAATAAACAATTGAGAAAATTGTTTTTGGAATTTAATAGCAATGCCTACGACTTTCCTTTTGACAACGAAGATGACAGGTATTGATAAATTGACCAATAATTGATCAATATACAAATCAGCTTTATACATTACATTTGATAAACTTATATTGTTTATTTTTCAGTAACTGCTACCGTTTCACATTAATAGAATCTATAGCAAATATTATCGAGACTTCTAATTACCTGGAGGCCCTAAGTCTAGGATGCTCGGAAGAGTTGATAATGAATATGTTTGTAATTTTGGAACCTCTTCGTCTTCATCATGCCAAACATCTAACGCATCTTAGTCTAGCATCTGTTAAAGATGACCCTGATTATTATGATTTTTTCGAGCTCGATAATACTATTTTTAATTCGTTTATCAGATTATCTGTCTTAACTCTAGATTATGAGTTTGTCAGTGATTCTTTATTAAAAGCGTTAGACAATGGATGTATGCAAAGACTTGTGATTCACGTACATGGCTGGAAAAACGATTATCCGGGAACAACAAATACAGCTTGGCAAATGTTTAGTCAAAAGAAGTAAGTTATATAGTAATTGTTGCACTAGCTAGACATATTAGATTAGGATTATGTCTTATTTCCAACAAGAATAATATATACCAGTAAAGAAACATACATAAAAAATATTTCTTTCACAGTCCACAATGTGAATTAAGGCTCAACCTTATACATTCTTATGCCGGCGTTAAGGTTTTACATACCGATATATTCTGTCCTGCTATGCCACTGACGCATTTGAAAGTGTTATTCTGTGAAAATGTTAATAACAGGGCATTGCTTCGATTATCAATGTGGTATTCACACACACTGAGATCATTGACATGGATAGACTCGATAGATCGTGTGAAACAGATGCCAGCTACATTTGATCCAAATGATCCAAATAGGTAAGAAATATCTTTGCACTTTTCTTTACTGTATTTTCTTCAGCTAAAATATAATATATATATGATTCTATTATACACAGTCCAGATCCCTTGGTATTAGTGGCGTGGAAATGTACTAAACTTACAAAGATGGTGTTCTTAGGTCACAAATATTATCAAGAGAATTTATTAGCTATCGCGCGTCTCAGAGGCAACACTCTTAAATTATTGGTATTCGCAAAAAGTGATATCACATCTGAAAGTAAATCATGGCACACAGCTGAAAGTATCACGCACGTGAGTATAAACAATTTTACTGTAAAGTGAAACTTTTTTTATATCAAACTTTTGATGATTTATTCTGTAAAATTAAAGAAATAACAATTGCAAAATTGAAATAGAGAATGTTAAAATGTTAAGAATATTTATTAATATATTATTCATTATTAATATTTATAGGAAATCCGAGGTATAATGGGTTTACATTGGATGCCATTGAGCGACTCGGAGCTACCGATGGTGATATTGGATCCTTTCAAAGGCGACAGCAGAGAAGTAATTATGCCATTGGTTCTCAATGATCAGAAATAATTCTCAATGAGAAACCGAGGAAAATTTCTACTCAGTGTGATTATTCAACAATCGTTTCCAGACCACCAACATTCTTACAAGTAATGTTATCGAATTGCATCTTTTATTCTTCTACGAGATTTTTTTGTTTAACGAGAAATTATAGATGAAACATGCGAATAAGTTTGAATCTCGTTATCAACGACATTATCGTTTCGCCGAGTTGAGAATTCTACTGGGTACAATGAAAGATATAGAGAGTTAAACGCACATATAATCTTCTCCTCGATTACGATATTTTTGTCGATTCGTATATCAATGTGATAAACTATAGTCAAGTAGATCTATTTCGACTTGTTGATGGTATATTCAATGCAAATTACGACACATTTGCAAACAATGAGACGATCTCTTCAATTAAAAGAGACGATCTCTTCGATGATTTATATGTATTGTAACTTTCTTCTTATGGAAAACCATATGAATCGCGTTTTGATGTTGAGATAAAGTAATGCTAGGAATGATCATGCGTACATGTATGAAGGCATTAAGAGTGGTAATTATCCTTATCGCTCATAAAATCAATATTGAAAAAGAAGCCAGAATACATTTTATATAACAATACTATTCTGGTCAAAGAGAGCTGTGCATTAAGACGACATGGCTGATGAACAAGATCGCATTCCGCAAAGTCTGCATTGTGGATTTTTAAAGAAATTTTAAAAAAGTCTAAAGTTTAGCAGAGTTGAAGCAAGAATATGCAAAGGGCTTTTATCCAGCATAAAAAGAAAAAGCTGCAGCACGTCGAAGAGAAAAGAAGAGATTCGGATCTTGTGATCTTCCATTGGAAAGAATAACAAAATTCCAAACGTATGTAAGTAAAAAAAAACGCGCGTTCAACAACATATTTTTCCAATTCTCTGGGAAGTTAGATAATAGCGAGCGCCAAGAGCATGACGTGCGAAAGTCAAACTTGTAGTAAAACTTCGCGAAGAGTTAAATAAGCAGCGGCGCACACGAATATAAAGAATATCAAGAAAACGGCAACAAAAGAGCGCGAAATATCGATATAGCGATCCGAGGTTATTTTTAATACCAAGACCAATCGGACGCTTTTGTATAAATGTTAACGTATGCGCACCGAATAAAGTCGGCTTGATGTAAAACAAGCGCGGGCAGAATGAAAAAAAAAAATCGCTCGAAATACAGCTGTTCACGTATAGCTTTCGACAGGTGATAATGAATAGCAATCGAGAATGTGAGTAATACTTAAATATATAATTGTCTATACTCACCGTGCTCTTAGCGACCGCTGACGAACACACGAATATAAGTGTGTATCTGTAAAATCGAAGGTATTAGTCGCTAATCGTATATATATATATATGTATATGTATGTATAACTGTGTATTATCTGTCGAACTTTAAACACGTCAACATCCGGACGCAGTGCGCATCTATTTCTGTCGTACAATTAACGCTGACGATTTTTTGAGAATGTATTTACAAGAAAGAAAGAAAGAGAGAGAGAGAGAGAGAGACAGAGCGATCCGTAACAAAGATAAAATACCAAAATGCAGCCGTATATACACACAGTTTACTATTTCGAGAGATTATTTACTTTTTTTTTTCGAGCCCTTGTATAATTATATATTACATTATCGTGTATCGTAACTTGTAGTCATGTGTAATATTGTGTTTTTTATATGTGGTTTCTGTACATACATCTCCATGCGTTCGAGACACTGGATACACGCGCGAATAACGCGGAATCGCGCGCGGAAGAATACACGAAGAGAAAACGAGTAACGAGAAAAAGCGGAGAGGCAAAGAAACAAAGCGGAACAAAGATGAGAAACAATATATAATAGAGAGAAGGGAAGAAAGAAACGTTTCTTTTCGACAAACGACCAGCTGTTATACAAGATGAACGGGCCTTAATATGTACCTGAGTCGCGGTAAGGGTGAATTCATTGAAAAATCTGTCACGCGACATCCACCATAGAGAGATAATCACCTTATAACTGTTGCGTCCTCGCGAACGTGCGTATACGCATATATACGCATTCGCCAGGACAACGGCTACGAACTTGAGGTATATCACGCTCGTGCAAGTGCCCTTTCATTTCGTATTCCGCGCGTGTATATTTTTACATCAAAAGGAGAGTAGAGAGAGAAAAAAATCTAACGCGAAACGAGAGAAATATGTAACTAGGGGTTTCCATGAGAATCGTAGTTATTACTGTACGATACGCGGATACGTAATGTACTAACATAAATTGTTCGATGAACGTCGATTCTGTGCGGGAGAGGACGAAAACTTTATAAAGTGTAATTTTACGTTTCTTCTCGTTTTTTCCTTCAAACGAACGGAAATTTCGCGTAAAGAAGAAGAAGAAAAAAAAATATATATTCGGGGATGCGGTGTCCAGCGTATGAGTGTGATAAATGAGCGAGAGAGAGAGAGAGAGAGAGAAATGTAAGTGTGAAAAAAAAGCCATGTGACAATTGCGCGTGAGCAAGTTTAATAGCGTGCGAATAGAGAAAGAACGAGAAAAATTAATCGAAAATGCGAAGCGAGATAATACGCGTTTGAATGTAATAATGGATATATCCGCGAATCGTAGAAAACAAATCAAGTGATATGATAGTACCATCTCTGCGAGTCCTCTGTATTAAGTAATATCGTAGAAGGCAATCGTGCAGCCGTTTGACGCGGGCACAACGCAACTAAATAACCACGTGTATGATAACACGACAAAACCACAAGTATAAGACTGAACCTGCCGAAAGAGGTGTATATTACAACACAAGTCAAGCGAGCTGCACGTTGTCGCGCAAGAATAGTCGACGCCATATTCATAAAAAAAAAGGCGAGGGATGGAAGGCAAAAAAGAAGCTTCTTTGCAAAAGTCATCGATATGTTCCATTGTTGAACATGATAATTTTTCTTCAATTTCTCGCGTATTTTAAACGTCTTTCTCCTTTTCGCGTTTTCTTTCCATCTTAGCCTCGTCGCTTCGAAGTCGTTCGAATACTTATGAATATGCGCGTCGCGAAAGCGAAACAAAAATAAAGGGATGGTGCACAAGCTAGCGTTTAGATCGGAATAAGCCCTGAGAGAGCTCACTCGACGGCGAGGTTCTCGTAACCGATATTATACACTTAAACCCTTTAAAGCAGCCTGCCAAGAATCAAAATACTGTAAAATATCAAACGAATGCTAGCCAGTACAGAATGCTAAGATCTATTTTTTAAGAAGCGAATGTATATTTTTGTACTAAGGCAGGCCTTAGCGTGTGATCGTGTCTTCTTGCGCGTAACGGCGAGACCGAGAGCTGTGATTATAACACGTGTTGGCTATACAAGGGATAAGGGGAGTAAGATCAACACGGGAAATATATATCGAGAGCGCATCAGCATACAAACAACAAATATAGGGAACACGAAACGAGAATCCCTGATCGAATGTTACCGAGTGAGCTGTAAGCATAGACAGGGCGTTATAAAACAAATCGAGAATAAAACATCTGTGATAAAGTAGAAAATCTTACAAGCGTGTTCGAGAGAGAGTGGATGAAGATCGGCGAGTATGGATAGAAAGTAGGATAAAATCGAAAGAGAGAAAGAGAGAGAGAGGACTGAAGAGAATCAGAAATCCACGCGCGCGCATCGATCAAACTTGGACGCGCCAGCGATTCCTCGGAGACGGAGCCGGTGACCTCGACGCTCGCGACGGAAAATTCGTCGATTATTGGCATCGTATCGAAAGAGAAAGAGATGAAATATGAGAGATTGTCGAGATCTTTCGACAAGATAGCCCGGTCTAACTAGGCAGACGACAACCCGATCAGCTCATCTCGATCGCGCGCTCTAAGTGGGTTGCAACGCACGTTTATTTTTCTTTTTTTTTTCTTCTCGGCCAGCAATCAGACGCGCGCGTCCTGTAAGAGCCGCGATACACGAAGGTTTAATATATGATCCATAGCCGTTTCGCGTTATTCGATAACGCACATACGTGTATCGTGGCTCTTAATAACGCGGAATCGTGGCTAGCGCGGAGAGAGTTTTTTCCCTTTACACAAAAACCGCTCCGTCTTTCGACATTCCACAGTGAGATGCGGAGACCGGAGACACGTGCGATCGCGTTGACGCGCCAAATGATTACTGACACGCTTCGCCGGCTTCCTATAGACAATGTTGGTCCTCTCGACTCACCGCAGGTAGACAACTTTTACGCTGCAGCGGTCTTGGCGTTCCTCCTCCGCTCGGAGATGAAATCTGCCGCTGACGGTGAAGCAAGCGCGCATTTAGGTAAATTATATAATAGAGAGAGCAAGAGAGAGAGAGAAAGGGAGATAGAAAAATCTTAATTTATCGTCGACTGAAATCAAAGATCGCACAAGATTATCGGAGTACAACTCGAGTATGTATATGTATATAGTTTGATTTTGACACGGACACGCGACACGGAGACGCATTTTCTCGAACCCGCGCGAACGAAAAGTCGTCGTCGGGTCACCGTCGGCGGCCACGAGTAGTATAAGTTCCTAAAAAGAAATAATTTACACGTACACACACACGTCACGTAAACACGCGAGTATAAGCGAAGATAGAAATGGAAAGAGGCCGGCTATGCGAATACGACCTCGTGTGCGAACAAAGAGAGAGGTATTCATTAATTTGTTGATGCGTTTGTGTTCGGTGCTCTCCAATATTTTCGAACACGGTAACATCGAGGAACATTGTCATATTATATACTTATATACAAACACGCAAAGTATTATATACCTACAATCCATTCCATTCGATGGGAATGAGCGTAGCATATTGTCGCTAGGAAGATCGGCCAGAAGCACGATCGTCGAGCGAGTCGATTCTAGAGAAGCCGAAAAGTATTGCGTAGGGTCGATCGAAGGCAGATTATCTCTGCAATTTTATACGAATCGTTTGTTTTGATAATGACGATGATGCGAATAAGATATTCGATAAATTATTAATTTAAGTGTACCAAGCACACACGAGGATCCTATTAATCCTAGGAAGCGCGCACGCGAGTAATAATGCCTAATGAGTTTCCGTAGACACGCTCATCTTCGGTGTCGATCGATCTTACTTGAATTAAACGTTCAGGCACTTGCGTTACTTTCGAAACGCACGGTTCGTACGTATTCCCGATTATTATATCGTACCTGCCGACGCCGATGTTGGCGATCATCGCGGTTCGTTCGTGCCGTACGAATGATTTTTTTCCCATCATCGGGGAGAATGCACGCGGACAGGGAAGACGATGTGTCGCTAGACAGACACGCGCATTCCTCTATCGAGATCGTATTCACGCGTAACGAAAACAGCGTTAGATGTAAGCAACGTGAGCCGTATGTGAGCGAGAAACGAAAGTCCGTAATCAAGCCTGATGATTTTTCTTTCGTAAAGGGGCTTCGCGAGTACAACTGGGCCCAATATATTATATATTATTGTCGCTATGTTCGTGATTTCGAATGGAGCTTTAAAACGATGTCCTAGTTCCGATAATTGCGTGCGTGCGCGTGCATACATATGTGATTACATAATCGTCATATGTACACGCTGATGGAGAGAAATTGCGCCCCGTCACGTTACGATGGTATCACGCGATCGTCAAAGAACGAGAGATCCAGGGATTCAAGGCCTCGAAAAACCTGGGCATTTCAAGATTTCCAAGTTTCCGGGATCTTAGGAGGATTCGCATGAATTTCGAGACAAGATGCACGACAGATTTTCGTGTTTTTTTTTTTTTTTTTTAAGTAATTGTTAATGAAATAATTTTGTTATCGTGGATGATTCAAAGGGAAACGGAAACGTTTAATAGCATTTACATTTTCTCGTCTGCGAAAGCTTCGATGACGTGTAATTTACTACATTCGGCGCGAATGATTAATAATCGCTAGCCGGTATTAATTAATTAATACATGTATTGATACATGTACATTTTCACATATATGTAATACATGTTTTATAAGCAGAGATGTCGAGGAGAGGGAATATATTAGCGAGAGGCTTTGAGTCTTCTGGACCGTTTTGCTTCCCGACTTTTCCTTGGCGATAACGTAACTGGACGTTGTGAATCCGATCTAACGAAACGTTCCATCGAAAAAGATCTATTTTTTTTTCGCGTCGCGCGTCTAGAAATTGTTCGAATTCTCAATGTTACACCATCGCTAAAGAGAAGTCGTCTCCCTCGCGAGTGGAATAATCGTCTTATTGTAATACATTCTTTTCTGCGAGTAAGCGAAGACCTCAAGACGTGGTCGTCCCTGTTATCTCGAGGACGAATCTCGTTCCCGGCATAGTTGTACTGTACATAAAGAAAACGGGTTTATACGCAGAGGAACGTACTGAACCTGTTTTTCCTTCTCGTATGTCGTCGATGCAAAATCGACGGGATGACATCGAAGTTTAGCACTGAAGTCTCACTCGTTGTTGCTTACGACGTTGAACTATCATCCGAATAAAACTACAGTATACGCGCTAATATTTTTCTTCGTCAATGTAATCATGTCACATACACACACACACACATACACACACACAAATACATATACAATGCCGAATAACCGTCTCACTTAACGATGTCAAGATTAACGAATTGTAAAATGTATATGTACGTTGCGTGTTCATCTATGCGTATTATTGTGTGCATGAGCGCGCCGACGAGAAAGGCTTCGCGATCGTAGATTAATTATCGCGCGGCTTAATTCGATCAGACGACGAATCGCGCGAGAGGTCGGTTATTCAATTTTTCGCTGTCCCTTGTGCTCGTTGTTGTGTCTGTTCGAGCCGGTCGAAACGAATAACAGTGTGCCGGTATTAAAAAAAAAAAGAAAAAAACGAAACTCGTTATAATCGTGCATTACTTTCTAAGCACTCTATCGATGTTAGTTAGAGCCGCTTCCTGGTGCTCTCGACGCGTCAAATCCAAGTAAACGAGCATGAGAATTGATGAACTACACAAAAGCACAATAGGGAATCACTCTTCTTTATTATATCTTTATTTTATTTATACCTCGTATATCAAGATATGGTTTTGAGAATTTATCCTAACGCTTTAGCAAACTGTATGTTAAATTTACATCACAATTACATGCGGAAGATGTAATAAAAAATGCTATGTCTGTAACAGATTATAAATAGTGGCGGATCTACTGAAATATTAATCAAGTTTTTTGGTTGTATTATAAAGCATTGCTTCAGAAATTGAAATTATCTTTTTTCAATTTTAAAATCTAATCCAATTAATTGTTTTATCAAGTAATAATTATATATACATATATGTATATAACGTTTTACTTTAATTATGCGTATATAATTAAATTTTATTTTATATATATATATATATAATTAAAGTAAAATTTATATTAATTTGATATTATATATATATATATACATAATTAAAGTAAAATCTATATTAATTTGGTATATATTTTTTATATGTACTTATTTTTTACATAAGTTTTTATATTAATTTTTTTAATAATGAAAAATTATATAAATTCGTTATATATATATATATAATATGTGTGTATATATTTTTCTTTTCTTAAAATAAATTTTTTTTTTAGAAAAGTTCTTGGATATAATAAATATTTTTTAGAAATATTTTTTAGAAAAGTTCCATCAGGAATATTAGACTTTTGAAAATGTAGATCCACCATTAATAATTGTCATAAAATTCAATGACACTTGAAAAATGAGATAGCATTTTTCGTAGGTTTAACGCGAAACGCATTTCTTAATTTAATCTTGATTATGCAATTTTGTGTTTTAACAAACACATTTACATAAATGTGATATTTTAGTTTTTTTTTATTACTAAATGTATTAAAAATTAGCATTTTGAAGCAGTGATCTCTGAATTGTTGCTGAGCAATGAGTGTGTAATCATCATCGATCGATTTTATGATCGTCGAGACATACATTGTGGCTATGCGTTTTAATTTTTTATTTGCCGTTATGCATTATGAGATTAACAATAGAGAACGTACTCTATCTATTCTTTCAAATTATATTGAACTTAACGCTTTGACAAATACTAAATTTGCATGCCGAGTTTTTGCCTAAATATGTAAGATTTGAATCGATTTAATTATTACCAGCAGTAATATATTTCTTCAATCGAACATCTTCGGGCTCTTTTATTAATAGTCCTTTTGCCATTGTTTATTGTCGAATTTATTTTTATAAAATTGGTTTAGAACGTCATAAATAAATAAAAATTAAAAAAGATCATTAGATTATATAAATGCATTGAATAATGAATAAGCATTACGAGATCAAGATAAATTCATTAAATAAAAAATGATTACATTGTCAGTGCGTTAAGTCACCGTACGAATGTAAGAGTACGTAATGTTATAGGAAAAGAGAGAATAGTTTCGATTTTTGCTCGATTCGGTCACTCTTATGTGCTCGTTCCTAGACTACACGAAACGCAGTCGAAATACTTGTGTTCGGTGCAATGTGATATATATTTTTTGTTATTTTTATTAAATGCATCTTTCTTCGAACTGCTTGCGAATTTGCATGTCTCTCTTGCAGCTTCGTATATTTATAAATTTCTAATCTTACGTCTTTCTCGGCACATTCTTGACTCGTAACACATCGAGTTTTACCGCGTTTTAGTGCGAGTTTCGTCTTCCGGTTAAGGAACGCGCGATGCGTCGAAATTTTACCGAATCAATTCTGAAGCGACGAATTCACGAAGACGTTTCTCGCATATTTTCGGCGTTTTTCTGAAACGCAATCATGGAATATTGTCACAGACCTGCGCAAAGACCGAGACGCTCGTCGTTATAATTCGCGGAATCTGTGTTACACGCATCCGCATAGAAATCTGTTATTGTATAACTCCGATATTATCCAATTTTTCATGGATATGTAGTCCCGAGCGAGCATCTTTACATGCCGGAACCGTTTAAACTATCATGTAATCAGTATTCTTTCGATTTCAAAGTCCCGTTGGGAAATTGTATATCGATCTATTGTTTTTACGTCCGAGTCTTGTAATAATAGAAATCAAATGTTTTATTTTTTTTTTTTGGAAATGTAAATCAATTTTTAAAAATGTATGAATCGATAAATAAATAATACATGGCATAAAGTAATTCATTTACTTTCTCTACAATAATTAACTTGTAAATGTAATATATAATTAAGATCTTCCATTATTTATAAAAAAAATTAAATGCTTGCCATTGACGAACAGAATAATTTATATATATATGACGAATCTTTTTTTTCATAAAAATCAAAATTTTTTTAAATATCTAAAGTTTTTCTCAGTATCTCTATATATTTTTAAAAAATATAGAAACTGTCTAGAAAAATATATTTTGCAAAAAAGTCCTAGTACATATGCTTTTTCTTTCTTTTAAGAAGCATACAATAAATCACAAATAGAATCGCCACATGTTAGTTTGAAGGTAATCTTTATTGTTTTGAAAAGAGAATTCAAAACAATTTTTTAAAAAGATCTTCGATTATCATATATATATTTATTGTAATTGATCCATCGTGTCGATGATTTGAAATGATTTGAAGACGCGGCTATTTTCTAAATTTTTCTACAAGCTATTAAATTTGGAAAGAAAAGAAAAACATGAAAGTCTATTAACAGACTTATATAAGAGATAATTTTGATTTTATTAGATTTTTCATATTTACATTTATATTTATATTTCATATATGTACATTTATATTAGAATTCTATCATTACATGCAACAGATCTTGCATCAATTTTGTTCAATCTTTCTGTCAACAATAATTGAGATTAATAATTTGATTAAATAAAAATTGAGATTAAATCAAATTATTAATTTCAATTTTTATTTAATCATAATTTTAATCAATTATTACACTTTTTATTAAAAATTTTATATACATATATATATATATATATATATATATGTATATATATTTAAATTTTACTTAATTTAAATCAAATTATTAATCTCAATTTTTATTTAATCAAAATAGAAAGATAACAATAAAAGAAAAGATTTTTGTTAGTAAAGATTTTGATTTTAATTCTCTATACTCTCGAAAAATTTGATTTGATATATAATTCTTGCAGGGGCCTCTATGTACGTCGGACAAATTCTATCGTCGCACATTGCATCCTCAATCCCTCATCCCCTTCTTGCATAAAGCAATCCCCAAGCAGCTTCGAGACATTGCCGTTGCGCGGATCCGAGACTACCGCTGCATTGCAGCATCGACCGGTTTTTTTTCCCCCCGAACTGTAGCACCCCCCTTCGCGTACCTTCGCGTGGCGGTTCGCCCCTCTCGACGCACCCTCTCTCGCGTCTTCTCTTCTCGGTATCGCGCCACCGATGGTGGAGGCTTCGATCGACATCCCTGACAGTTTTTCGCAGGACGCTTGTTGCTTCTGTACACGAGCCACAAACGTGAACTCGCCCTGCTGCAAAGATCTCGTCACTTGAGATCTTTGCGTCGCGTTTTAATGGAATTTTTCCTTGTTTATCGTAGTGAATAAATTGTGTCGAAAGTGTGATCTTGATTCAATAATTCTCATAATAAACCGATCGCTAATTATGCAAGGTATACATTATCGATAAATGCGAGTGTCATATAATGCGAGTCTTGTTGACTATTCAAATCCCTTGAAGCGTTCAATGTGATTTGTCCTAAAACTTATCAAAATTAATAATAGATTAAAAACATCTTATATTTGTTTTCTCTATAATATGTAAACATTAAAAAAAAATTTTTTTGTATTAATATATATTTTAATATAATTATTTGAAATAATTGGTATGTATATATGTAGGATGTATTTTTCTTTAATATGTTAATTCAATATACATGCGAAAAAAACCTGGTTATTTCAGTATTAAAGTTGAAATAGCTTTTAAGTTATAAGCGATGGAAGTTTACAAGTTATTGGGAATATCGAGTTTCTGATGTATAATTAGCTAATGAAATTTTCTTCTTCAGTTAATCTATATTTTAATAGATCTTTTACTCACGACAAAATTATAAAGTTCAATGTTGCTAATTAAAAATATAAAAAAAAAATGTGATTTTTACAGCGTAGTATGTAAATACTTGCGATAATACAATACTTTGTTATTTTAAATTTATATCAAAAAGGAATTTATATATATATATAAATTTCTTTATAAATTCCTATATATTAAATATATATATATATATATATATATATATATATATATTTAATATATATAAATTTAAAAAACTATAATAATATATGTGATTGAAGTAGACACGTGGGATTATTTTGTAAACACGTAAAAAGGAAAATATAAAGAAGTTATCCATATGAAAATTATTTGGCATTATTGATATGTGTAAAAGTTTTTTGGTTGAGGAAAAGATATTACGAATAGTATTTTTTAAAATGGAAATCTAGACGAAATTTCAAAATTGTATAATTTTTAAAATGCATTGTACAAGAAACATACAAAAATTGTTTTTCTATATCTTGTTTCTTTAATGCGGATTCTAAAATCTTGAATTTTTACAGTAAAATTGGTGATTTTTCTTCGAAATAGGTTTTTAATAGATCTGTTTATTATTAATAGTTTTTAACAGATCTGTTTAATTGTGTTACAATTCAGGAGAGAAATATATATATAAATATATATATGTATATTAAAGATTTATATTAAAAGCATAAAATGTTTCCTGAGAAATGCAGTTTGCTGTCCTATTTATAGCATTAGATACAAACAAAATATGAATAACACTTAATATAGCTTCTATGGCTTTTATTAATACCGATCATGTTTTAACTGAAAGCTTATGCAATGAAAAATGTTGTGGGATTACTTTTTAAATTT